CGGCTCTGGCGCCGGCCGGCTGCTGCTCTGCGCCGCTTCGCTTCGTGTCCTCTTCCCCTGAGGTTCCTTGAGGTCTTGTGACTGCCGGAGCGCAGCCTGCGTTTATCGGGCAGCAAAGCGCCTCTTACTTTTAAGAAGGTTATGCGGGCTGAGCTCTGAGATAATGGTATCTATTCTAAATATACTTCCCCCATCAGACAACGCTGAGCTGGCTCCGAGTCCTCTGGGCACCTTTTCTGGAGCAGGCCAGGTGCGTTTCCCCTTTCGAGGCAGTCCCGTTGCTGCATCTGAACAGGGTGCTGCATGTTTCCTGCTCTACAGAATTAGGATGGGCAAACTCCTGCATTGAAAGGACTCTCCAGCTCGGCAAAGACTTACATGACTGCTTGGTGCTACACCCCGGGCAGATGTGCTTCCTCCGGCTGGAAGATGACTTGCAGCCCCAGGGACGGTCAGAGTGGAAGTGCACCAGGCCCAGGGCTGGGATCATTAGAAACTAACCTGGGCAGAGGCTAGTTGGTGATAAGCTGTGTTTGTTTCCTCAAAAGGGGCAGATACGAAGCCTGCTCTTTAAATGTCTGTGGTGGGCTAGCTATCAGTGTGTGTTTGCAATGTTATCCATCAGTGAATATTTCAAGCTCTTCTGCCTTTTTTTATTTTCCGTACTTATCTGCAAAACACCCAGTGTCACAGATGGGGAATTGCCGCTCTGAGGGGCGAGGGAACTGTTCCAGCTCATGCAGGAAATGTGAGGGGGAGTAGGGAATTGAAGCTGTCTTTGGAGTGGGACCTGACTTCAACTTCCTCTTTGATGGCCTGATTCTCTTCTCCTTTTGCTCACTGTGAGTTTTGCCCTTAACTAAAGGCAGGTGGGGAACCCCAGGCTTTGAAGGTTGGCCTAACTGCTCAGCGGGTGTCTGCCCGTTCCTGCATCGCTCTGCACGAATAAACCTTCCTGATTGCCCTGGGAGCCCTCAGAAATGTTAATTCACCCTAGGAAACCCTGGGGTAAGAGTACCCTGTGCTTGATCTCACAGGAGCAGGAATCTTTCAAACTCTGTGAGGAAAGAGTAAAAAACCGCCCTCTGCTGAGCAACAAGACTTCTCTTCTGTGTCCCAAGTCTTCTTTCTGCAAACTGCTTGAAGAACCTGTGCCCAAAGAGCTCATCCTGTTATGCATATTTACAACTTCCTCCCGTGAGCAGGTTTTGCAATCTAGATCTGAAATCTGCTTTGCCAGCGTAAATCAGCAAGTTAATGTCAATCTTCTGGCAAAAGTTCTGCTGGTTTCATCTTTCTGTCCTCCTCCCCGTTTTCTCTGAGCTACCTGGTCTCTCTGAGCGATGCTCTGCGTTTCCTGGCACGCGGATGAGGCCATGATCCCTTTGAGGATCTGAGTCCAGGCTCGGTGCGCGTGCATTGAGGCGAGTGCAGGTTCCTGGGCAATAGCTCTGCGTGGGGCGCTATGTGGGAGCATCCTTCCTGCGGAGCAGCTGGTCTCAGCTGGGAGCTCTTCTTTTCCTCCTGTGCAGCCAGGGAGAGCGAGGCATGGGCTGGCCCTGGCCAGTCTCTCTGAAGTCGCCGCATGAAAACTGCCAGTCGGTAGATGGCTTGTTTCAAGGCGCTGCCTCTTGTAAGGGCTTGCTTAGGACAGCTGTTCCCAAATAATGAAGTGACCGCTTATTCCAGAGCAGCAGTGCTTCTGTCCAGACTGGGACTGAGCTACACAGAGAAGATGATTCAGATTTGAGGGGGTGGGGACCTGCAGCCAAATAGCTTTTTCTGGTCACCTCCCTCTGTGGATGCCCTGAAGAGCTGCCCTTCCCGGGGTCCTGCTGTGTCAGTGGGAGAGAGGACTGCTGTCACCCCACAGATCAGCTGGTGCAATGGATTTGGGAAGTCTGCTTGCCTGGCTGCTGCTGTCCAAAACAGGGCCAGGAATACCTGTGAAGAGCATCTGCTGGGATGTGGGGGGACGGGGAAGGGGGCTGATGGCGATGAACTGCTGCTGGGGCGACCTCTTCTAGAGGCGTGGGCGGGTTTAGCAGAGATGCCTGTTTGCATCCTTGTTCTGGTGTCCACAGAGCTAGTAAATTAGCAGCCGTTTTTCTGGAGTAACTGTGGACAAGCCGTGAAATAACTATCTGGTGCAAAAGAGCCTTTACACCTTGTTCCCTCTGGCAGGGTGATAAACGCTGGGAAGAGCCAGCACAACGAGGACCAGGCCTGCTGTGAGGTGGTGTTCGTGGAGAGGCGGCCCAGCCCGCGGAGTCGTCTGCCGTCCAAGGAGGGCACCGGAGAGCTGGAAGGGGTGAGAGCCTGGGCGCTGCCGTGCTGCACGCACGCAGGACCGCGCAGCCGCCGCCAAACCGGCTGCCTGCGCCTCGCCAGCACCCTCCGGTGTCCTTGCCGCAGGTGGCTCGGGGGCTGGCCAGCACCCTAGGGAGGCAGCGTGCTGGCTGTCGCGCTGGCCCATCCATGCTGTGCCCTCTGGGGGAACCAGCTGCCGGAGGAGGCTCTTTGCAGCGTGGGGTTCATGACGCAGCACTAGGCTCGAGCCAAGGATCGGTTACGTCTGGGCACCCTCCATCAGCTGTCTGGGTCACTCCTGCGCTGTGCTGGACTGGGACCAGGGGGCTGGAGGCGAAGCTCCGGTGTCCTGCTGCCCGGAGCTGCTCACTGCAGCCCTAACTCCGGCTGCTCTGACTTCCCCGACCTGTTTGCTCCGTCGCCTGATTCCCTGCAGGACTCGCTTAACCTTCCTCTCTTTCCCAGGGCAGAAAGGGCTTTTATTTCCACTACTGGGCCTTGTTTGATGGCCATGCCGGCAGTGGTGCTGCTGTCATGGCATCCAAGAGGCTCCACCTGCACATCTGTGAGGAGCTCCGGGACCTCGTAGACATCTTGCAGGACCCCTCCCCACCTCCCATCTGCCTCCAGCAAGACGCACGGGCCGGCCTGGCTGAGCCGAACCAGGTGTCCCTCACGGAGGAGGACGGAGAGGTCCCCAACGATGCTCTGCCGCGTTTTCACCTGGAGAAAGTGGTCTCTCATGAAAGCCTGGTGATTGGTGCCATCGAGAACGCCTTTAAGCACATGGTGAGCAAGCTCTGCAGTCCCTGCCTGTGGGGCTGCCCTTGCCCGGAGGCACCCCAGTGGACATCCTCTCGGAGCAATCTGCTTTGCTTTCTCTTTCAGCGCGTTCTTGTCCCCTCTGGCCAAAGGCAGTGTGTAGGTCTGCAGGGAGAGGGCTCCAAGCAGGGCAGCTCCTGCCTTGCTCTGATGCTCACGCAGAGGCTTTGTGTGGATGCAGAGAGTTTTATTGTGCTTGGTTCCAGCAGTGCCCAGCTGCTTTCCTCCAGTCTTGCTCTTTCCAGCCCACTCCATGCCTTCGTGGGCTGCTCCGAGCCCAGTCGGGCAGGGAAAGGGGAAGGCCCTGGCCCTGGCCGGTCACTCCTCTCCCCCTGGAGCCTGCGCTCGCCTTGTTAGCAGCCAAGGTGCTGACGGAGCAGCAGAGGACTATTTTGGGCTGCTTGGATGTTTGCTCGGCTGGCTTAGGGACAGTGGCCCTGCCTCTCCCTGCGCTCCCCTGAGTTGCAGCCTCGTGAGCCTGTTGCTGTCTGTCTCCCCAGGACGACCAAATCGAGCGTGAGCGGGCGACCCAGCACGTGTCCGGGGGCTGCTGCGCCCTGGCTGCCGTCTACCTCATGGGCAAGTTCTACGTGGCCAACGCTGGCGACAGCAGGTACGGCGCGGTGGCGCGTGCCTGCCTGCAAGCACGGAGGAGAGCACATGGTGCTCTCCACGTGCGCCTGTGGGGTTGCAGGATCAGCTCTGCTGGCTGGGGCTCCTCTCCCTCCCTTCCATCCTGGCAGCGTGTCTGCTGGACATTTCAGTTGCACCCCAGCCCTTGCTGCCAGCATTGGCCTCAGGTGGGAGTTGGGAAGTGAAAATTGCCCTCAGTAAAGCATTCAAAAATGCACAAGAAGTCTTAATTTTAGGCTATGTTTTATAGCAATGAACTGCTCCAAGGTAAGGGCAATTTTTCTACCAAAGCTTATGGAAATCTATGTGCAGACAAGCCCTGTGGGAGCTTGGAGCCCAAGGATTTCGACTTGTAGATACATTACCTTGGATGCATTAGTGTGGTCATGGATATGTTTTTGTCCCCCAAGAAATAATCAGGTAGTCCATCTTATGCTGAGAGCAAAACTGTTTTGAATTGCCCTGTATTTACTGCAGGGTTAGCTTACCGTGACCAATGTCATGCCAGCAAATACGGGTCTCGGTAGAGTTATCCGAGGCTGGCAGATGCACTTCCAGCTCTGGAACTGTGGAGAAAGCGGAGGAGCTCCTTCGTGCCCTTCTGCCTGGTGATTTCAGAGCAGAGCGAGGTGGGACCATGACTGGAGGCTGGAGGCGATGAGCTGGGCTATGTGCTTGGCTATGGTCGAGCCCAGTGTGGCGATGGTATGAAGGGCTGGAGGCATCATATGACAACACTGGTGTGGATCTTGGATCCCCCCAGGACCTCCAGAAACGTCTCATAAACAGACTTTTTTTTAATGCATCAGAGGAACAGGCCAGAGGAACTGGCCCCAGCAGTGAGCCTGCCACGCTGGCGTGCGAGGGCCGGGTGCTTGCACCCGTGTCCTGCTGCCCCTGAGTTGTGCCAGTCCCGGATCCGGCTCCCCTGTTAAAGGAGGCTTTGCAACCTTTGTGCTGCTTCTTTTCTCACAGTTTCCCTTCCTCAGTTTGCACTGTTCTCCTCTGCCCCACACTTTTCTGTTTTTCTTTTCCTCCCTCCTTCCGTCCTCCTGCAAACAACTCAGGTGTCCTAGGTCCCTGAAGGGGCATGCAGGGAGCGAGCTGCAGCATAGCCAGAGGAGGGTTCATTGTCTCGGGGCTGGGCAGAGGGACGGCAGCCGATACGGGAAGGTGTTGCTCCGGCTGGACGGTGTGCAAGGTTGCCCCTCTGCCGCGGGGCGGCCCTGAGCAGACTGCTCGCTGCGGCTGGGCAGCGAGACCTGTGCTTAGCTACCACCCTTCATGTTGCCTCTCTTCCTCTCTAATCTCATCCTTCCATGTTTCATTGCAGGGCCATTATCATCCGTAACAGGGAAATCATTCCAATGTCCAGGGAGTTTACTCCAGAGACAGAGAGGCAGAGGCTGCAGTTTTTAGTAAGAAAGACCTTTCTTCTAATCTCATTCCTAAACCACCTCCTGGCCCCCTTCCCCAGCCCCTTACGCTCCCTGCCTGGACTTCCTCCTCTGTAGGAGGTGCTGGGGGGTCAGGGGGCAGCATCACAGCTGGGATCTGGCCGGAGGCACTCGTTCATCCCAGCCCTGCTGAGGGCCCTGCCAGCTCAAAGGGTTGTGGAGAGGCGTTTGGGACAGGTTGCTCCTCCAGATCACTGCCGAGCTGACTGGTGACTGGTGGAGTCCCGGTTTGCTGTGTCTGGGTCTGAGCGAAGGCTCTTGCATGGGCCTGGTGTGGTGGACTGTGCCTGGGGAACAGGGAGAGCATCACCCTTCTGAGCCAGGTGACCGTGTCCTGCCTGGCCGTTGCAGCAGGGGCATAGGCTCGCCTGTGCAATGGCCTGTGAGGGAGCTGCTGAGCATGCTGGATGAGTGTATTTCTTCTTCACCCATCACGTCCCCTTGCTCATTTGAAAAGGTCGCGGTGCTAGTGCTGAGTCCTAGTTTCTTGCCTGGATGCTCCCTTGAGAGCTGGGGAGCTGAAGTGTGCCTGCTGTCTTCTAGCTTTCTTCCCAAAAGTGCCCCTCTCCTGCCTGTGCTGGGCAAACCTCTCTGTGCTGGGCAGTGAAACTTTATAAGGTTGTAAAGGCTCACTCCAACAGCAGCACAGAGGCGGTGGCGTTTGTGTTGGAGGAGGTTTTGCTGGATGTGTTTGCTTGGCTTGGAACATACTTGGAAAAACACCAAGGCATTTCTTCTTCTCCGATCTATTTTCAAACAACCCAGAGAGGAGGAAATCACCATGAGCAGGATCCTCTCCAATGGGCCGTGTTGGACAGGGCACGCAGGCAGAGGGCCAAGCGTGTGCTTGCTCCACTGCGTGGCGGTCAGGGCGCTCTCCTCCAGAGCGGGACAGGACTGCCCCCACCCCGATGTTCCTGAGGGCTTTTTTCCTTTCTTTTAGCTCCCCTCTCTCCATCACCATTTTCCAATGCTGCTGGGACCCCTGTTCCCAGCACTAGTCTGGTGCGGTCAAGGGCCCCACGGCACCTGCATGCCACGCTCTGGGGTGGTTTGGGGCTGCTGGCACGCAGAGGATTGCCTGGGGCCACCTTCTTGGTGGAGGGTTTGCTTGTGGCACGCTAGCTGTTTTGAGAGGAGTGGGTCTTGGTAGTGGTCTGCAAGACTTGTGTGAGAGTAACACCTTTAAGAGCGTTCAGGCATTGCATCCCCGGGAAGAGCCCTCTCTTTACAGAACAGAGCATGGTGGGACCTCCACGTGGTGGGATTTAGCCCTTGCAGGGGTGTTTGTCGTCTGCTAGCAGCATCCACAGCAAATGGATGACACTCGGCCCTGGGAGCCGGGGCTGGCAGACATCCTGGCATGGGGCCCTGTCCTCTGCCTCTTGGGGAAGGTGCTCTGTGTCGCTTCTCACTCCTTGCCCTTTCTGAGTCACGGCTGCAGCTGGGACTGTTTTCTGAAAAGACCTGGTGGCTTTTTCCTCAGGCTAATGCCACTTTCTGTGCTGAGCTTTGCAGCCCCAGGGCTCTTTGCTGGTCTGACTCTTCCTAGGCAAATTCCAGCTTGTCCCAGAATTTGCTCTTTTGCATTTTTGATCCCTTTTGGGCTAGTTATTCCCCAAACCTCTCTGTGCAAAAAGCTTCACCTCTTTTGCTCTGTGTGGGCATGGCTGTCCCCAGCTGCTTGCAGAGGGGCCCGGTGCAGGCCCGGGTGGCGGAGCAGGGAGGCGGTGCTGCGCAGTGCAGCCAGGCGCCCGGGCCGTCCCTCGTGCGGCTTGCGGGGCGCTCGCCTCGCACTGCGGCTGAGCCTGGGCATCCTCCCGCAGGGCTTCCTGAGACCCGAGCTGCTGGGCAAGTGGTAAAGCTGCTGAACTGCGCGTGGTGCCCTGCTCGGAGGGACGGAGCCCCGGTTCCCGTGTGGCCGCAGGGATCCAGCTGAGCCAGCCCTTGCCCTTCCCCTGCGTGGCACACCGCGCTCCGGGTGTCCGGGGGGCCGGTCCTTGGCAGATGCCTCCTGAGCAAGCAGAGGGGTGCCGAGAGCCTTCACCTGCCTGCTGACGCGCTCTCTCTGGTTTATTTTAACTAGGGCTTACAAAAAGATAGAAGAGGATGACCTGAAGTTCCCGCTTATCTATGGGGAAGGTAAAAAGGTAAAGTGCCGGGGCGTGAGCTGTGCGGTGGGGGGCTTGAGCGCTGCGGGTCACCGCTCCCCAAGGGGAGCAGGCATTGCAGCAGGGCTGCAGCGCTGGCCCTGGCATGCGCGTGGGGGCCGTTTCCCGCCTGCTCACAGTGAACTGGGGGCTTCCAGCCTTTTTTCACTAGTGCTGCAACAGCTCCAATGCTGCGTGCATTTTCTCAGCTGGGAACAGAGGCAGAGACTAAGTGGCTTGAGGGTTTGTTTTTGTTTTGCCTGTTCTCCAGGCTCGGGTAATGGCTACGATTGGGGTCACGCGGGGCCTAGGAGACCACGACCTCAAGGTGTTCAGCTCCAACATCCACATCAAGCCTTTCTTGTCCTGCTTCCCTGAGGTGAGTCTGACTGGTCAGATCTGCAGCGCGCCCAGCGCAGCGGCATGGAGCAATGCTAGTGTCGACCAGGGCCGGCAGCGTGTCCGAGCTGTCTGAGCCTCCTCTGCCCCTCCATGCCCCTCACCTGTGCGTCTTGCCCCATTGCTTCGCAGGTCAGGGTTTATGACCTCACGCAGTATGAGCACTGCCCCGACGACGTTCTTGTCTTGGGCACCGATGGGCTCTGGGATGTCACCAATGACAAGGAAGTGGCTGGGGGGGGGGGGGGAGGGGGGACGAGCTACGAGCCCAACGACCCATGCAGGTGAGCCTGGGGCAGGCTCCCAGGGGAGCCTCCAGTCTCTTCTTTCCTTGTTAGGGACCACAGTGTGTCCCAGCAGGGTGTTTGCAGCCGTGGGGCCTGGGGGTCGCTGCTGACCCATGCTCTGTCCCCCACCAGGTACACCATGGTGGCCCAGGAGCTGGTGGTGCGGTCTAGAGGGGTCCTGAAGGAGCGTGGCTGGCGTCTGGCCAATGACAAGCTGGGCTCTGGTGACGACATCTCTGTCTTTGTGATCCCTCTGGGTGGCCCAGGTAACTACACGTGATGCCCTGTTACCTCAGGGCAGAAGGGCTCGTGTTGCCTGGATGGACACGAGCAGGACACCAGAGCTGCCTTGGGGCCACCTCTCTGGAGAGCACTTATTTCCTGAGCCAACTGCAAGAAGAGTAAGAAACTTGGAGCCTCTATGCCCCGGGCCCCTGCCCAGAGCATCCCTGCCCACCCGCTGCATCCCAGCCCTGCACACCATCAAGCCCACACAGATGGAAAGAGGGGGACTGGGGTAGAGGAGTGGTTTTCATGTTGCCATTTTCTTGATTGCTGTGAAAAGCCTAAACGCTCCCTGGCTTCTCAGTGCATCCTTTGCACCTCACCTCTGGACCTGGGCGCTGGTTACAGCGGCGTGCGACTGCCGCTGGGCTCGCGGGGGCCAGAGCACGTGTACCTCGTGAAGCGTGTGCTTGCTGCTGCAAACGTCTCCTCTCCTCGCCACCCCTTGAAATTTGCACCATTAACACTGAAGCTGCTGCTACTGCACCAGCGCCGTTGGGATGGGCGCTGCATCCAGATTGCACCACTGCTGGGAGCAGAGTCCTGTCGATCCGTCTGTCCTGCTGGCAGTCGGGGTGACGCTTAACCCAGCAGCCTTGAAGGGGAGAAACCAGGCTGTGGGTGGCCCTGGTAGCAGCTGAGCCCCACGACTGATGTCCTGGCTTTGTGCTTACCCTCCTTGGCTGTTTGGGCCTTCATCCCAAGCTGTTTACCGTGTCTTCGTCTCAGGTTTTGGGGGATGTGACAGGTGTTCGGTCACTGCGGCACACTGAAAGCACCTGCAAAGATATGAGCCTGCTGCACTTGTACAATGTTCACCAGCCCTTGGCTGTGTTGTGGGTCCTGCCCACCAAATCTCCTCATGTCTTGGGTCACTGCTGTGTTTCTAGAGCCTATTATTTATTATTAATTAGAGAGCTGAGTGAGAGAATGCCCAATTCAGAGGGCTTTTTTGGCAGGGAGAGAACATGTATGAATATGTCTATATTTCTGAGCAGTTCTAGTCTGGGCACTGCTGAGCACCAGTTATACACAGAGCAGCCCTATTCAGCCAAGCTTAACAGCTTAAACATGCTGCACAGATCTGCTTAGCTGAGGGCTGGAGACCAACAATAAAATCTGCTTGCTGTGATTGAAAAGAAAAAGACAGCTCCCTCCTTTTCCTTAATAATCTCAAAGCTGGTGCTGAGCAGCAGAGGGTCTCTGCAGAACCTCTCATTTTGTGCCATGTGCTCCTCTGACCTGGAAGATGAGTTTCCTGGACCTCTGCAGAGCATCGCCTCCTTCCAGAGCGCGAGGGATTCGTCCTGGCAGCGCCGGAGCACAGCCTGGGCCGGGGGGGCTGGCCGTGGTCCCTGTTTTGGGAATGTGCTGTGGCACTGGCAGTTTCTCTGTGTCCTGCTGTCACTGGGGGCAGCCAGCACTTGTCAAGCGTCACCTCTGGGGAATGGTGTTTGTCTCTTGTAATCAGCAAGATGTAAATAAACTGAGTGCACTTAATGGGAAGTGAAAGTTATCCAGCGTGATTTTAACCTGTTGACGTTGCCTGCGCTGAAGGGAGCACGAAGTGGTGCGCGGGCTGGGGCGCCTCTCCTGGGGTACACGCCTCTCCCGTGTGCTCGAATAAAGGTTTTGCTGCTTTGAGTCCCCTCCAAAGTCTTTCTTGCAGGGCTCCTGCAACAGAGACTTATCTAAAAGCTGATGGTTCCCCTGCCCATCTCCTTTCTGCTCCCTCTCCGGGTTGGCCCGAAGGAGGAGTCCCTTTGGCGAGGCGGCAGTGGATGGAGGCAGCTCTGCGGGCTGTAAAGGCCGTCGCGCATACCCCACCGTCGCGCTTCACCCCTTGTGTGCAGACGCTTGCACGTCTTTTCCCTGCATCCCAGCTCTGGTTTGCAGGGCTCTGTCCCCCCGGAGCGGCGCTCTCCGATGCCAGTTGCTGAGAATGGCCTCTGCTTTTCCAGGTCACTGCTGGGAGCTCTGGGATAAAGGCAAGAAAGCAGAGGGAGAGGTTGCACTTAAAGTTTCCTCTGTGGGTCCCTTTTTTTCTCTGGGAGCATTTCCTTTGGAGCCAGCCCCTGGGCTGGAGCTTGATAAATTAAGAAAAAAACGTCTCTGAGCCCTTAAAATAGGAACAGTTTATGGGCCTGGGTGTGGACCCTGGAGCTGCCTTACCCTTGGCTGAGTCACGGAGACTTGCCCTGCACCCAGGGCATCGCGGGAGGGGCCGTTTGCC